AAGGTTGTTTGAAAAAAATGCCGACTGTAAAGTTTTTTTTCGAGGTAGAAATTCTCGGTCGGTCGGGTTACCGGAAACACACTTTTTTTTCTACGCCTAACGAATTATTCACACACAAACGCTGAAGGAATACATAGACAGGTAATAAAACAAATATATTTCCTAAAGTGTAAAAAAAAAAAAAGTCATATTAGTAGAATCCAATTGAAGCTTTCTCCTACTTTTCCCTTCTCATTGTGTGTACTCCATGCAAGCACGGCACCACACTGCCCTTCAGAGGCCAACACACACGCATAGCAGGAACAGCCAATATTTCTTTTTCTACATATTTTTTTTTAATTACTGTTACTATTTTACTTTGTGTCTAATGTATTTTCTGGTTCGTTCATGTTATATTTAAAGTTGAGTTTTCAAGGATTAAAGGAATTTTTATTGTCTTACCAACACACATTTCGAGATGATATGGCACAAAACATGATTCCCGAGGTCCCGAGGTGAGTCAAGTAACTCCTGAGACTTGTGAAAATAAACATAGGACAGCAAAATAAAATACAATAAATACGATAAAGAGATACTAATGTGCGCAAAGATGCAATGCAGCACAATGAAACTACAAGAGACTCAAATGTCACATATTTATAAGGTCATTGTTTTCTTCGGGTACTCCGGTTTCCTCCCACATTCCACAAACATGCATGGCAGGTTGAGTGGGCACTCCAAATTGTCCCAAGGTGTGATTGTGGGCATGAGTGGTTGTTCGTCTCTGTGTGCCCCGCTGGCAAACAATTCGAGGCGTACCCCGCCTACTGCCGAAGATAGCTGGGATAGGCTCGAGCACGCTCGCAACCCATGTGAGCATAAACGGATTAGAAAATGGATGGATGGATGCATGGGTGGATAAAAGGTCATTCTGTACTTGACAGAAACAATAATGTTTTTGAGAATAGTGTTCAACGCGCTGGGATGAATGGGCATACTGATATTGAGTAGTTGAGTTTTCGTTGGTAGTCCAAATAATTGATAATCGTTTTTTAGCAATTGCGATTTCAGTATCAATCAAAATAATGTCCAGTCCTAATGTTTACTATAAAATAAAAAAATTGAAGGCCTTTAGCTTCTTCTACATGTAAACGAAGCCATGAGTTGATGTTGGAACCAAAAACAGTAGGAGAGGGGCGAAGACAGGCCGACAGTGTTTTGAATTGTGCAAACACCTGTAATGTTTCACCACTACAGTTTAATAATTAATAGCTGACAGTGTCATGACTGGGTGAGCAGTTGTATACTTTGGAAGGCTTGGCTAGTCTCATACCAACATTAATGACTTCTTGAAATGTAAGCGATGGTAAGAAAATTTATCAAGACATAATTCTGAGTATTTTTTTGGATTGAACTCATTTTTTTCCCCTCTGAAACAATCCGGTCTATAGTGTCAAAAACATTCCATTGAAAGTCCCCTTCAATGCTAAAATAACAATATCAGGAACCTTTG